GAAACAATTAAAAATTTTTGGTCATCAGTCTTGTCTACAGTTAGGATTTTGTTCATTCTTCACTTCAGGTGAAACACACGAGGAATAGGTAAACCTAAAACACCTCAACTTCCATCGGTCCAAAAAAAATCCTTCAAAGAAACTTATTTTTGATTGGGTGTAGTTATACTATGATCTGTGTGTTCGCCCTCCTATGTCAGTTTARTTATGCTGGTTTAGACTGCCTACCCGATTAAAATTACCTTTTAATACTATTTTGTAATTGCAATGCCATACTAATGCTTCATGGACACCCTACATTACTGCATGGACTTCACAGCACCAGCAGTGTAAGCGTACCAATGCACAAGCCCAGGGAAAGCTAGAAGATAAATCTGCAGCATGACACTGACTTCAATGTACAGAGAAGTTTACCACAATGAAATATTGCTCTGCTTGATTGTACTTTCAAATATTGACCAGACCTATGTCACATAGAAATGTTTGTAACTGAGATAATAAAACCATATTATATTATGTAAGTCACTTCATAATTCAGCTCAAAAACAATCAGTCTTTTAATTATCCATAAACAATACACATTGACTATAATTAACATGTAGGTGTAGAGTAGATGGACATAATTTAGGAATCAAAGAATCACTGAAAATCAACAGGACTTAGGCTTGAGTCAGTGCTTCCAAAATAGAACCCCATCAGGCACTTTGAGAGTCACATTCCTTCAAAACCAGAGTTATTTGTATACCTCAGCACAGGCTCATCATAGCACAAGGCTGAGGTTCTGCTGACACCTGTTGATAAACGTCTGAACAGCAGAATTGATGTCACACAAATAGATAAATGAAATAAAAAACGTATCTAAGAAAACAAGAGCAAAAGCACAGACGTGTCTTCCTTCTGTAACAGAAAAGTTTCCAGTTATTGCTAAGTCATAATGCGAGTGAGGTTGGGGAAAGGGTGACAAGGAAAGGTAAAAACAAAATTTGCTGCTAGATTTTTTGTCAGATCTTCCCTGACCAGGATGGTGAGTTCACTTCCTATTGAGTCAATATACTACTTGCAGTGAGTCATTGCGGAGATGCTGACTAAGCTGAAAGAGATTTGCTAATGACTGGATGATCAGCARAATTATAATTAATATCAGTAGAGACCAGTATCTGTTTTGCAAATGATCAGAATCAYGCTAACATGGGAGTGTGATAAGATGACAAAGACTACTGAGAGATTTGCAAACTTTTTGTTTTAAATATAGGAAGATTTGTTTGCTTTCTCAGAAACTTATCCTCAAAACAGCAAATATCACAGTTGAACTCTGCTGACATKGGTTAGACCCAAGAAAAGGTAAAATTTTTAGTAGAAATTTATATTTTGCTACAAGACTAAACAATTGATATATGCTCCAAATTTTCAGCCACGACACCTAACGTAAATCACTTTTAATTTTGTTTTAAGCAAACATACTGAAAAAGGGAGAAGATGTCTACACCTTTCATTATAAGGATTTCTGTTAGCAGATCACAYATTGCAATCTCTTTCATGTGTACAGGGGTGCATGATGTCAGGTAAGAAAGACGTGTTCTGGGGAGTGTTTTAGACACTATGTAAGCCTGTATTAACTGCTTTTCTGATAACAAAAGATCCAACAGTGTAGATTTGCTCCTTTTGCTGTTGTTCGCTTTCTTCTCCCCACACTACCCCCGACAAACAAGGAAGAAGTTTACAGGAAAGAGAAAATTCACTTTCTGTCCCTGGTGCTCATCTTCGAAAGAACATTACTGCTTGTAAAATTACATCCAAAGATCATATCTTGGACAACTACCTACTTGGGCTGTTTTTTTGTACATTCCCACCTTCTCTGTATCCAGGATGAATTGAAAAGTATTGTCATGCAYAATTGCTATGCTTACTGGATGTTTGCCAGCCCATTCAGGAATTACCCTGCCCTGCTTTGAAAGGGTTGCTGGAGCYTGAGGAAAGACGGGCGCTGCCGCTGGAGCTGCGGAGCAGAAGCGTGGCCAGGCTGCCCTCTCCCGCCCGCTCAGGGAGCTCCCTGTTTTGAAGCACAAAACTTCCACTATACCTCACACTGGCTGCTTTGATAGCACGAAGCTGATTTTCGGAGACGTTTTGGAAATGCCCAGGATATTGGGATTTATGGCTGCTGAGCCAGAGGTACTCACAAGCCTTGGACATTCCAGCATTCTGGACAAACATAAATATATTCATCCCGGATAACACCTTTGGGCTGAAAAAGGCATTTTCACGAGGCAAACTGCAGCTCTGAATCAAATACATGGCTTTTGCTGTCTATGAAATTAATTTGCAGTCTGGTGCTCAAAACTCTCAGACAAACTGCTCATGTACAGCTTGTTTGTGTTGCACACCGGCGAGCCAAATGCTTGACAGAGGTATTGAGTGAATAATACTCCCTATTATGCAAATCTGTGTGCATATACAATTCTGTCTCAGAAACTTTAGACAGAAACAGCTTTGGCTTGCCAGTATTTTCCTAAGCAAGTTGCTCAGACAATTACCAAGCTTTTATCAGCATCGGGCATGTCAAGGCATTGCCATTAACATCCTTGCTGGTGGCACGTTCTTGAGCTCCAGAATAAAAGGTGTAGTCGTAGTCGGCAGCTGTCCTGCTGCCTTGCAGAGGGAGAAGATCAACAAGAAACAATGTAAGAAGGAAAAACGACCAAAAGAGAAGGGATGAGAGAGAAGAAGACACAAGGGTGTTGTTCAGGATGCAAGCAAGGATGATGAACACAGTTATGTCACCTAGTAACAGCGATCATATGGGGCTGGCATGGTTCATATGTACACAACCCTCAACCTTCACACAGGATGCCAAATTAGAGATGGTAACTCTGTTCAGAGAGGGCAATCAAAACACACTTCTGAGCTGTAACTATAAAGGTGCGATGTTGTTATTTTAATGTTTAGGTCCTTGTCGTTCCAGGTGGTTACTTTATTAACAACTATGAGCACCCTTTGGGCTGACCAGACCTTTAAACATCACTCACAAGCCTCTGTGTTTCCAGCTGGTGCCATTAAGCGCACACACACACACACACACACACACACACACACACACATACACACACACGCGATTTTACCCTGGATGAAGAGCTGCACTGAGGTCCTCCCCAGGCTGAGAGAACAGCTTGGCAAAAGCTGCAGGCAGCAGCTTCATTTGGAAGAAAAGCTGTTCACCCATGTTGCCAAACCATCTCCTGCCCTCTGCATGTTTCCCTTGTGCACGAGGCGTACACCAGTTCTCTCCCTGGAGGAATATTGTATTTCAAGGAAATACAATTGTAAAATAAACACCCCATGGCTAAGCCTGAAGTCATCCACTTGTAACACCTTATCTGGACACTCTTTCATACAGACTGATTGTGCAGGCCTGAGTTGGGGCTGGCGTGGGACTACAGGCTCTGACACTGCGGGTGACAGGGACAAGCACCAGTCAGCTGGGCTGGTGTGCTGGAATGGCTATCTTCACTGGGATCAGGTGGCCAACCTGTCCTTCACTTTTAGTGCAAAGGGGAGTCTCTGGCAACTTATAGAGGCACGTTGAATGGAAATATGCTAAATGTTTGAGTGGACCAAGCGAGGTTTAGCCTGGAGAAGAGAAGCTCACAGCTTATCATTCTTTACAACTCCCTGAAAGGAGGTTCTGGCCTGGTCAGTCTCTTCTCCCAGGCGACTGGTGACAGAATGAGTAGACATAGCCTTAACCTGCACTAGGGGAGGCTTGATTGGACATCAGGAGGAATTTCTTCACTGAAAAGGTGGTTAGATATTGGAATGGGCTGCCTAAGGAGGTGATGGAGTCACCATCCCTGGAGGTGTTTAAGGAAAGACTGGATGTGGCACTTAGTGCCACGGTTCAGTTGACAATGTGGTGTTCTTTCATAGATTGATAATCTCAGAGTTTTTTTCCAACCTAATCTATGTGTGATTCTGTGACCTGGCTTGGAGCCACCTAAGTCACAGAATCAGAATCATAAAATCAACCCCACCCAGGAAGCAGCTCCTGCTTTTGCGCCGGTACAGAGGGCAACTCTGCGAGCCAGACCCGAGCCTCTTCCCGCACAGCGTGTCAACGCTGGGGAGCCGAGCGGAAAAAGAATGAAAATCTGCGATTTTATTCTTTTGCAAGCATTTACTATGAGGAGGATGAAACCCGGCTGGCGCTGGCTACACACCTCCGGAGCAGGTCGATCAGGAGGGCAGAGCAGAGGCCGAGAGCGGTGGACGGCAGGGCCGGCCCGGTCAGCCCCCGCCCCCTCAGGCGCCGCCGCCCCGCCCCGCTGCTGCCGGCGCGGGGGGAGCCTGCAGGGGGCGCTGCACGGGGGGAGCCTGCAGGGGGCGCTGCGCGGGGGGAGCCTGCAGGGGGCGCTGCGCGGGGCGAGCCTGCAGGGGGCGCTGCGCGGGGGGAGCTGCGCTGGCGGCGCGCTGCCGGCAGGGGGCGGCCCTATGGCGCCGGCGCTCCGCCTGTGCCGCGCTGCGCGCCTGCTGCCGGCTGCTGCCGCCACGGCCCGAAACACGGCCCCAGCCCCGCGGCCGCCTCCGCGCCTCGCCTTCTCCTCCTCCTCCTCCTCCTCTGCTTCCTCCTGCTCCTCCTCCTCTGTCTCTGCCTCTGCAACCCGCCGCTCTCCGCCGCAGCCCGCCATGCCGGCCTTCCAGTACCCCGAGGTGTACCGCGACGAGACCGCCGTGAGTACGGCGCTAGCTGGGACAGTCCCCGGCGTGCGGCGGCCGCCGGGCCCGGGCGAGGGGCACCCGGCTTCTCATCCCCCGCGGGGCCGCCGCGGGGCGGGCGGTGCTGCCTCGGCTCTCGGCGCTTTGTTCGGCTGCGGCCGCGGAACGCCCGGCGTGCTCCGTGCGGGCAGTCCCGGGTTTGTCACGCCCGCGGGCCGCGGCGGCTGCCGGGGGTTCATTAGGGCGGGATTCGGGCCCTTGGCCGGTGCCTCCGGGCACGTCCCGCGTGTGCGGGGCCGGGAGCCGCTCTCAGTCGGGCAGCGGGGCCTGAGTCGGGGTGCGGGAGCAGCGGCCCCACGGYGGGTCCGGGAGCTTCGGTACCGCTGTGTGTGTCAGGGAAAGCCAGGCCTCCGCCCGGGCTGCAGCAGCGTCAGCAGAGGAACAAATAGTCTATTTATATGAGATGGCACATCTGTAACATGGTCCCATCTCCCTGTGTTCCCAGTGTAACTGGATACAYGAGGGATTACGGTGTAAGTTTGGCTAAAATGGGTTCTATTTTCTTTCCCTTCCGTAAWGCAATGTGCATTGGACACTGGTCCTGGGGTTGTTTACATTGCATTTAAACCAAAATGTTTGCCCGTATGAGCCAAAGCTGGGAAAAAACCTAAAGTACTTACTTTCATAGTTGACTTAAAGGCTGAACTGTGCAAGCCTTAGCAGCAGGTACCTAGTGTTTTTTTGTGTACTGGAGGAAGGAAGGAGGTAAATTCAACCATGTGGATTCATCTTTTGTGGTTTGTTTTGTTTGTTGTTTTGGGGGTAGGCATTTGATTATTTTTAAAAATTATTATTTATATGTACATTATGCACGTGTTTGTGGGTAACAGTAGTYGGGAGGGCTAAACCAGAGACCATTTGTGTAACCAGGAACTATATTTTGGGTACATCCAGTAATCAGGTTTTATAACTTGGCTTGAAAACCTTAGGGATCTCGGTTTGGTTGGTGGGGTTTCTTCTTTGCTTACTAATCTATTTCGTGGAAGGAGTTTATGTGCATTTCACTATTTTTTTGGTGCTCTGTGTTTTTTTCTGAGGACTACTCTACTGCCGTGGTGTCATCACCAAAGAATGGTAATACTTATAACTCACCTGGGAGCAGTGTGTTGGTTCTCTCGTTCTTTGCTCCTTAGCACTATATGTTTTTGTGAAATTCTAAATGCCCTTCATCATKCTATCATTCCTTGACAGATAGAGTTTGCTTGTGTGCGTGTCTTTTTTAAAATAATTATCTTTTATGAATTCAGGTGTCGGATTATCATGGATGTAAAATCAGTGATCCGTACTGCTGGCTTGAAGATCCTGATAGCGAGCAGACGAAGGTAACTTTTCTTTTCACTTGGTTCTCTTTTATAGACCAGATGCATAGGTACTCTGCTTTTGAAGAACCTGCCAATACTTTTTGAAAACTTACATGGTGAATGAAGGTTTAGTTCATGTGGTATCTCATGGCACCAAAAGCAATGCCATTATTTTTTCCCTATRTTTTAATGGGGGAAAGGTTGGATGGGGCTTTGAGCARYCTAATTYACTGASAAATGTCCCAACCCTTAGCAGGGGGGTTGAACTARATGATATTCAAGGTCCTTTCCTATCCAAACCATTCTATGGTTCTATGAAAGTCTGCAACACTTGGTATTACTTAGATTCCAGAATCTGCAAAACTAAACCTTTGTTTACCTTGCACCCATTTTTCTTGGCCAGTTTGGATGCTCAAGATGATGTTATTGTACTGAAGGGAAACACGTAAATTTTAGAGTGCTTTGTCCACTGTCCTAAGTACATCTGAAATCTGAAATTACCATAACAAAATAGTTAGGAAAGGGTAGAAGGAAAACTTYTTTGGCTTGCTTTCTTCAAAAACTGACGAAGTGTGTGAGTACATTTTTTTTACCCTTTTTTTAAAGGCAAAACCAAAAATACTTTCCTCCTGAATTTAGGCTTTGTTAGTGTCTGTCATTGCAGATTGCAGGTGTTGCAGTGTTTTCAGCCTGTAGTCTGTTATAGTGAGACGGTGCTGCTGGAACCAGTCTTTTGCTGAGAGAGAATCATGAAAAATAATGACTGTGAGCCAGTTCCTCTGATATTCATGGCATAGGGAGTTGCAGGGATGATGGTAGGTGACAGTGTGAAGGGGGTTTCCTTTTCAATGGCTGCTAACTTAGTGGYAATTGTAGTTCCTGATCTGAAACACTGGCATCTGCCCAGTATGCATGATTGTGTCAGGAAGATGATGAAGGGCAGGATCTCCATTCGAAAATATCCTGCAATGTTGCTTTCCATTAGTGAGATTCCTTCTGAGTTCTCCTGCATATATGCTTGCCTTATACATTTTCATGAACCTGAGGTTGGTCAAACAGAACTTAGAGTAACTGTCAAGAGCAAGATAATGTATGTACAGTTAGGAACTGATTCCTTTCTTACAAATCCATCAGCATGTATAAATACTCATGTGGATTAAAAAGGTTGGTTTGGGATCAGGTTTTAGTGAAAAACTTTACCATGGACATTAATATTGAGAATGAGATATTTAGAAAGTTGAGAGAATTTTGGTTTGTTTTTTTTTTAATTCTGGTATCTCTAAGAAACAGTAAACACAGAATAATTTTGTACCACATTGAGAGGGATGTATGTGTGGGAGGTATGGTTATGTCTTTCTTTTGGAGATGCCTTACGGACACCTATTAAAGTGGTTTTTGGGATCCTGTGAAAGATTTGGAAAATGAGAAAATGCTGAGACCTGATTTCTTATGTCCTGTATTCAGTCCTGTAGCCACATACTGTGAGCACATTGGGTGAGAACATTTGGAGGACAGTGAATCACATTCTCTAGAGCTTGTAGTTTATATAGGAGGCAAAATAAGGMATAGGGAATTATCCTCACAAAAACACAGCAGCCCAGACACAAGTTGTCATGTTGGTGGAATGAAGGTCTTGTTACTTCTTACTTGCTACACTCAAAAAACCACACACCTTGGCAGAATTCTGCAGTGCAGAATTGCAGTAGCAGTATGGCAAAAGGAGTGGATAGAGTTCCTGTGTAAGTAAGTATGAAAGTATATCATCTCAGTCCAAAGTTTCAGGAGTTACTGAACCAAGRGAATTAAAGTATTTTGCTGGTTTGCCTCCTTCATAGAAGAGGTCAGAAAAAAATTCTGTCAAATAGATACCCAGATATGTTGKAATTCTGCTTTTCTAGGTGCAGCAGAAATAGACATGTCAAACATTGGTGCACTCTCAGAAAATAAATGAATAGGCTTCACTTAGTTTCTGTATTGAGTCAGCAGAACATGAAGCTTGCTATTCCTTGAAGCGTGGAGAAAGAAGCGAAGTTATGCGAGGTTGTTTTTAACTCTGAAATGTTCATGATGGTTTCACCAGATCTCCACTGTAGAGTTAAAGGGACTGGGATGAAGGAAATTACCCGCAACTACTATAAGTATAAAAAAACTATTTGTTTCCTGTGGCTAGTCCAAATGATCATGTGGACTCTTGATAGTTAGCAGTTACAAACAATTGAACATAGAAAGGTGGAACTTTTTTTTGTAATTGGCTTAATCAGGTATTTTTGCAGAGTAGAGTGCAAATGGTGCTGTACCTGATCCAGTATAATTTGCAGGTTTCCATTAAATTAAGTGGTTGTGTGGTTTCTCTCTGCCTTCCTTCCCTTCCTTGCACTGATGTGAATACTTCTGTCCCTCCTTTGCATGGGTATAACCATCACAAKGTGATGTTCTGGGAGGAAGGACTTTTGTGGATTAGTTTTCTATTGACATATGTGCTTAATCTAGGTCACCCAAGGCCACATGATAGTTGGRTCTAAGATGGTCCAAGAATGGGGTCTTTCCTTTTCTAGCCACCCACAGTCTACTTTTAGTGAGGTGAAAGTCAAATAGCATTAGAAATTTTTCAGCCAGATCACAAAGATGATCTTGTTATGTATGCAGTGCATTTATATGTGACAAAAAAGATGGTGGTTGAAGTCTGCAGGTGGCTAAGTAGGTCCAGTGCACAGTCTTAGAGCTGATAAAGCCAATCATAAAGCTGTTGTTCAAGAAGTGTACACTTTCATGTTCACAATCTTATGTGTTTTGCTGTACCACTTTTTTTCCTCTGTGGGAGCTTCGTTGGAGCAGTCCAAGGGCAGCGATAAGCAAACAAACTCCCTTCTCCAGATAGGTAAATAAAAATGAGCCTCTCGTCAGATAGGGAAGTTCCTGTCTCACTTTGGGGAAAGGAAGTGCAGAATGTGAGAATTTATGCTCTTCTTCTGTTTGACCATTGACTTTAAAGACAGATGGAGGAAACATCCCTGGCTGAAATATGAAACATCCCTAGTTGAAATGTGCTATGCTGGTGAAACACTTMTGGTAATGACATAGGTTACAACTACAAAACACACTTTTGTTGTTGCCTTAGCTTTGGCTTAGTTGGACTTTCAGCTTCTTCATTTAATACTTTGCTCTTCTTTAGACGACAGCGAAGTCTTTTGTTGCTGTGTCAGTTACATAAAGTATCTTAACTCACTGGTAGTGCAGACAGTAATGCTGAGCTTGTTCTAGATATGAGAGATGGACAAGTGATGAAAAAGCAGGGATCATGTGGGGTTGGGTTGTACTATTGTGAACATGAGTCTATTTGAATTAGGACTAGAATTGAAACTCTCAGATCTACAGTTACATGGATTTGTAGTTAAAATAGACSAGTGTTTTGTTGACATTTTGATAAATTTTCCAATTGCACTTTGAATATTTGTTAAACATTAAAAAAGTAAATGCTAAGGGGCAAGTCACAAGAAGTCTGGTTAATTTTATTTTGTAAATAAAATACCTTGGGAAAGGTATATGCTCTCTTGTAGGAGTTGCACTGAACTACCCTTGATTGAATATCTATATATATATATATATGAACTGTAAATACTTCGCAGACTAATAACAAAGACCAGTAATATTAAAACAGTTCCTATTCTGAGGCTGCTTCTTGGCAAGTATACTGTCAGTGGAATAATTACCTTGACAGAGTAGCTTGGTAGAATGTAGAAAGCTCATAGGTTGTAAAAAAGTATGATTAAAAAGTTTGTGCCATACGTTTCTTAGATGAAATCTAGTTAAACGATTTTTTAARAACAACAATTGGCCTATTTAAGTAATGGCCAGACACTTCAGCCTCAAGTGGACCATCTCTACTTGTAGTACAATGCTTTAGATATTACTTGCTTTTCAAATTTCTGAAATAGCCGTAAAGAGTTGTCTTACTTGGTTCCTTATTCTATCCTTTGTTCAGCTAGCAAATTTCAAAGCTGGTTCAAGGATTATGATACATTGTCTGATACAGATTTTGACAGGTGCAATAAAAATCTTTCTCTCTAGGTTCRTGAAGGTGTACAGTGCCTGTTAGCTCTGTAGCCTGGGTGGCATCTGCTTAGCTCAGCATGGTGGATAGAATTATTTACAATGAAAGTTTCTGCTGACAAGTGTTCCTGTACTTTACCTAGAGCAATATTTCAATTATATATTGCTTGTTATGATTTTTTTTGCATGTTTATGAGTGCAACCTCATGCTCAAAAGCATGGAAACCAAAAGTTTCCAAACTGGACTGTATTTTTCTCCATAAAACTCCTTGAAAAATCTGTAATTCCTTCCTTCATTTTTAGACAGCAGTGACACTCCTTTTACAAATAATCTTGGAACCTTTAGTGCATACTAATTGGAAATGAGAAAATACTTTTTCCTGTAATAGCAAAATTACTAGTGATACAGTTGTGAGTGTAATAATTGCATGTTCTTGTGCAACAAAGGCATGTAAGGAATAGTCTGTGTTTCTTCTGTGAATATCACTAAATGAAATCAGATGTGGTAAGGTGTGTCYGTGCAGTTAAAAGTGAGTAACACAGTTCCAGTATACCCTTGCAGCAGTGTTTTAATTTTGATGTTATTGATGGATGAAACAAAGATGTGTGCCAGTTTCTGTTCACTACATGCAACTGGAACRTGCTTTTGCCCATCCAGTACAATGGATGTTCTGACGCATGTTTTTGTAAGCTGTCCTTTCTCTGAAAATGTCACAGCATTGGAAGAAGTTAGTTGACTTGTGTAGGCTCCACCATCGAGATTTTTGTGTATGTGGTTTTTGAAATTCATTTGTTTCCATTTAGAGAAAACCAGTTCAGGTATACGTAATTCTTGGGTAGATTTGATTAAGTTCTTTCACCATCTGATGGGGAAACAGTTATAGCAGTACAATGTGGAGGCTGTGTGACTTACCACTGGGATGTGCTGTGCACAAATTAATTCTTCACCTGAAGAATTAATAYGTGACTGATAGGAGCTGGTAAGTGTGGGCCAGTTACTCTGCTTGTACAGCAGCTGATTTTTCTGAAGGTCTGTGAAACATAAGTTGTGCAACGTGGATTTTAGCCCTGCTGTTCCTGTGGGTCACTCCCTGCMATGAAGTGTAACTCAGATGTTACAATGCATTGATCTGATTGCTGTGTGACAGATTCAGGACAGGTAGAAAACAATAGACTCTTTCAAAGCCTCCTCTGGAAAAGAGCCCCGTGTAAGCAAGAGATGAGTGGACAGGATTTCATGCTGGAGGTGAGAGGCTGGAGTCTGAGCGTGTCTCCGCTGTCACTGCAGCATTTGGCTGTGAATTACAGCCACACATGGTGTCCTGTCCTACCTACTTCATGTTAGAGACAGAAAAGCCTGCATGTCTGCTTGTTAGCAGCTGTGATTCACCTTAAGATGCTGAGGTATTAATTTAATGTTCGTGTACCATGAACATGATGATGAAACACCTTCAGAGCACCAGCTTTTCCATGAATGCAACAAACAGCTGGAGTGGTAACAGTTTTGATCACTGTTCTTAAGTGTTTGTGACAGGGAGCTGGAGTGTTTTAAAGAAACCAGACTTCTCAAAGTTTTCAGAKATTAGGTATCTTTGCCTTTTGTAATGAAAAATTAATCTGTGAACAGTACTTAGGGCTTCTCTTGAAATATTGGCTGGGACTCATTCTGTGTGTTATGTTAATAATATGAACAGATGATGCACGTGACATTTTGTACATCTTACAGCCCTTCCCAGACCTTTCACAGCTCCTGAAGTAATAGTGCAATCTGCGGGCAGTATTTGTCATTTAGGCAAATATGAGAAGAGTTTTTAAAAGCATGGTATTCTTTTTGGGGTTGTTACTTTGKTTTTTGGGRRTTTTTGATGTGTTGGTTTGKTTTTTTGTTTGTTTAGGGTTTCTTTGGTTGTTGGGGTTGCATTTTGGTTTTTTGGGGTTTTTTAAAGGGAATGATGAGAAGGCTTTGTGGCCTTTTGGCTGGTTACCCCAGTGTCTGCCCTGGGGAGTCATTATTCAGGATAGAAGTTTAGTCTTATTACAGAATTGTGRCACAATGCAAATAAGCATGTGGGATTCTTCCTCTGTGACACCGCATAATCTATATGGAAGAAAGATGTCTGATGCATTGCTTCTGAAAATGTTTTGTGTGGAAAATACGCATTTCTGCTTGAGTTCATGTTTTTTGAATTGTTTTCTTTCAGGCATTTGTGGAGGCTCAGAACAAGCTTACAGTSCCCTTTCTTGAGCAGTGTCCTGTCAGAGGACTGTTCAAGGAACGAATGACTGAACTCTATGATTATCCTAAGTACAGCTGCCACTTCAAGAAAGGAAAAAGGTATGTGAGGAATGTCTTTGTAGGTGGTGATGAATGTGAAGCAAGTCAGAAGCAACTACTAATTAGAAAAGAAAATTATAAATTATATTTGTATTTATTTCTTTATAGTTGGGAAGTAAGAGAAGTAACCCACTATAAACATGTGTTACATGATGCAGAGCACGAGGTGCTTGACTGTCTCCAGTTCCCAATCATATTTTCTTCTTTTGTTGTCTTTTTATAGGAAGAAGAAATTGTGAGTTTATCAGAAATCAGACAGTTTTGTAGAGTAATTGTTGCAAAAGTAAAGCTTTGAGGAGTTCATTTCAGAAAGGGTTGGTCATTGTCAGCATAGTTAGAGGCATGTCATCTGAAAGTAGCATGTCCATCACATGCATTTTGTTCAAAATATTTGCTAGAATACTGCACTTATGTTGGTCGCTCTTTTTGTTTAGTCATAACCAGTGAAAAACAGTGGGAAGTCCCTTGTGAAAAACTCTTCCTGTAGTTACAGGGGATAAGGGAAAATTAATTTTGAGGACTTAAAGCAACTGATGCAAAAAGATCTGTCTTCTTAAAGAAATCCTGCTGCATTCTAGTACCTAGATCCCTGTTCTGATTCTGTGGCAAGGTGAAGGGATGGTGTTTCTCTGTTTTACCCGAGGTCTGGAGTGTGCAGCTGCTTCTGAATTTTCTGTGACCTCCTTTAGAAGCACTAAAAGCTTCTAGAGAAAGGGAGTAAAGGGATGAAACTGCTTATTAACTTAATAACATCTAAAGRTTGTTTTAGCAGCTGAAAAAGAGGTAGTGTGAGCAACCAGCCACTCTTAATCATGGGTAGCACAGATATTTTTTCTCARTATTTTCAATGTGTTTGATCCTTGTTGAGTGGGCACCCAGATATGCCAGGTATGTGTTCATCATCATCCATAGAAAGAGCAGAGGATATCTTGTTGCCCTAAGATCTACACAGATGTCCAGAGGGGTTTGTTTTAGYGATCTGTGCTGTGAGGAAGGCACAGATACTTGTTACTAAGGGGGAGAAATTCTGTACTGTGTAGGGTTTTCTTAAAGTATCTGGTGGGAAGTGAACCCCAGCTGATGTGGATTTAAATTGTCATGGATGGGGCACAGCATGTCAGTGTATAGAGGTGTGAGGTTTAAGCCCAGAAACAGTGGAGCTGTTTAGGGCAATGCTGCATCTGGGGAACTGTGCCTTGTTGAGTGAGTCAGGCAAAGCTTGTTTGTATGTAACGCTCATGCAGATGTAGCAGGTGACAGGTCACTGGTCTGGTCAGTGACTGCTCTGGATTCTCTGRCCCATTCTCCCTGCTCAGTGCAAACATCTCTGGATGTTGTTACCTTCAGTGCTGTTAAGGCTTAATGTTGCTATTAAGGCTTAATGCTCATGGCAGTGATAAATACAGTCTCTGCTAAGAGATACAAATTCTTAATTTGATACAGCTGACTGTTCTSCAGGAAGAACATTTGTGCCAGGAGCTTAATGTACTTGTAATTTGACACTTTACTTTGATTTTAATAGATGTCTTTTTAGTCCTTCGGAGTGATACTCTTTGGCATGTGCTGGACTTAGAGCAGTTCAAAAATAATACAGAAAAGCCCTATATTGGCATGTTTCAGGTGATCAAGAGGTCTCTACCAAGTTAAGTTACGCTAAATAAGGTGTGGGGAAAGGGCCTATTTTATTTGGAAAATTTTCTAAACTTCCCATGACACTTAGAAGTTCTTAAATTTAACTACTCCAGTTTTCTGATGAAGAACAGCTGCTAAAGGACAGTGTCTAAAGAACTGTTCTGTGAAGTCTGAAGAAAATAAGGGTGCCCAGGGAGGTGCTWTGTCTGTCTTTTTGTTTAAACTTTGCTTCCCAGCTTGTTGCCCAGTATTGTAGAGGTGACATTGGCAAGAGAATGCACGGTCAAATGGAAAATTAGTTTTCTTTTTCTTCTATTTATTTTAATCTTTCAGTTTCACACCGCTGAGCATTATTATTATTACTTGAGTGTATTACTAGCTGGTATTGTTAACCAGGCCTTTGTGAGTATATTTTCCCCTTCTGGCTTTACCAACTTCCCATGTTTGTACCCAGGTACTGGTCAGTGTTAGGGATTATATGAACATATTTTTAGATTTGAACGTTGCTCTGTAAATTCCTTCGTTCCCATAACTGAAGCTTCTCTCTGGTTTGTTAAGTCGCGTGTTTGTGTAGTAAAGTTCTATGAAGGAAGAAAAGTGACCTCTGACTTGAGTAGAATATGAGTGTTAATTTTTTTGAGCTCTGTAGTGTCTTAGGAGGTGAACAGTCTCACTCACTAGAGACAACTCTAATTATCTCTTCCTACAACTTTTTCAAACACATGCGTTTTTAGGGACGTTGGTAAATACCGATGAAACAGTTTTGGTTCAGTTTCATTTGAACATAAGTCTGTCACACAGTACAGATTGAAAGCAGCTACATGAATGACAAAGCTGAGAACATAAGGGATGGGAGTTACAAGTACTGKSMCAGTACTTGTAACAGAGAAATGCTGCAGCTGCCAGAGATTAACATAGACAGTTATGTGGAGTTTATAGTATACTTAGCATTCTWTGAAACWCACTGTGACAAATTCAGSTTTTATTTTYAAAGGGTATTTTGGATGCTATGAAWCTTGTGTTTCCCTAACCTATTTATTTGTCTTGTATTCCMTTCAKGACAATCTCATACATGTTCTTTGTKCTTGCCTAACTGAAAATCAGAATTCTTCCTACCTAATTTTTCCCTCTTGTCCTTTTTAGGTATTTCCACTTCTACAATACAGGGCTCCAGAATCAGCGAGTTTTATATGTACAAGACTCCTTGGATGCCGAAGCCAAAGTTTTTCTTGATCCAAATAAGCTTTCTGATGACGGCACTGTGGCCTTACGAGGTTAGTGAGACAGCAGTTCCTGCTGAGTAAGTCTCAGTGTTCTTCAGAAGTTGAAGATTTAATTAAAATTATCACAATAGCCATATGTGGATTTGTATAATGTTCTTCTGAACTATACAAGCCATCAGGTTAGAGTCTGTGAAGAAACATTGCATTCATTTTTATGATCACAAAAAAATTGTTTGTGTTCACTAGGGCTGTAACTTCTCTTAGCTGTTTTCACACTCGGTACTTGCTCATTTGTAGAAGCAGACTCTTGGACCTAAAAGTCCTTTAAGTCTGTTCAAAGCCTGTTAATAAAAACAGAGGACAGAATTAGTGAATGTTTCTCTAAGTGTGACCTAATTGAAAAACATCAGTATGGCTTCTTTTCATGAGAAGTTCTGCCTTAATCTGTGGGTATAAGGAATTGGGTTCATAAAATCTCCGTATTTCTGGAAGTCTTATGGCAAAGTTTCCTTCCAAATGCATTTGGAAAACCAGAAGCCATGTAACAGGAGGGAAAACTCCTGMTCTTGATAAATTATTTAAGGGCAGGGAAAGGAAAAACTGATGGGCTGTCAAGTAGAAATTGATGGTAAAGCTCTGWCAGGGACTATGCTAGGGCTAGCAGTGTTCAGTATGCTGATGCATAACAGAAAAAGGAGTGAGCAGTGAGGTGGCAGAGTTTGGTGACAATACAAAGATACTCCAGACTGAAGAATGACTGAAAAGCTGTAGGAAGACCTTAACCATAATGAGTGGCAATAAATTAACAGTTACAAGTCTCTGTGGAGATAAATTATGTGATGCACAGGGGACAAACAATCCTAACCTCATTTATGAAGGAACGGATGGAGCAAACTCTTGAGCTCACCATGATCTCTTGGGAACAATGCTTGGGAATGTAATACATAATTCCATGGAAGTGTCAACTTGGTTCTTGGTGGAAGCCAAAMAAGCACATCGAATATTAATTTATTCATTAGGAAGAAATACATTCCTGTAAGTGTTCAAGAAACAACCCAATGTGGCTGCTTAATGCCGGGATTTATGGTGATCAGTCAAAGGTTGAACTCTATGATCCTGGAAGTCTTTTCCAACCTTAATGATTCTATGAAACAGAGAACAAAACAGAAGACACCATTACATTAGYAACCCACCAGTTTATACTGTACCATTGAATACTAAATCGAGTTCYGGTCTCCTCAGGTCAAAAGGGACTCTGAAATACAGTTTGGAGGAGGGCAGTAGGAGCAATCAAGGAAAAATTGAGTGTGCCTGGATTAATCAGCTTGGAAAATGGACAATTTATTAAGGATATTAGAGGTCTACAGAATCATTTGTGTYATGCAATAGGATGGAGAGAGGGAATAAGGGTTGATTAGTCATTTTTTCTGCTGCAAGAATGAGGAAATAGCAARTGAAAGCAGGGGGAGTCATGTCAGCAAACAGAAGAAGGTGGTGGTTCATGCTGCAAGAAGTATATCTGTAGAACCCCTTACCAGTGGATGGTGGTGGTGGAAAAAGATGAGCTAGACATAATCAAGGAGAAGGGAAGCATTGAGGAGCATTAGCCAACTACTGCATGGAAAAGAAGTCTGCTAAACTAAAAATGGTTGAAGGTGATAAAAATATTTGAGGGAAATATTAGATGTGCTCACATTGTTCTTGCATTTATTCCTGCATTTTGTATTTGTTGYATAGTATCAACACAGGCTGGGGAATTAAGAGATTGGGAGCATCCCTGCTAACAAGGACTTGAGGTGCTGGTAGATGAGAGGCTGGACATGAGCCAGCAAAGTGTACTTGCAGCCCAGAAAGCAAATTTAATCCTGGGCTGCRTACMAAGCAGCATGGACAGCAGAGCRAGGRAGGGGATTCTGCTCCTCTGCTCAGCTCATGTGACACTGCCTGGAGTATTCCATACAAATCTGGACTCCCATCTTAGGAAGGACACGGACCTGTTGGAGTGAGTCCAGAGCAGGGCCATGACGAAGATTAAAGGTCTGGAGCASCYCTCCTATGATAAAGGGCTGAGAGAGTTGAGATTATTCAKCCTGGGAAAGAGAAAGCTGTGGGTTGACTGTGCAGTAGCTTTCTTGTACCTAAAGTGGGTACTTTRGGGAAGTGAAGAGGGACTTTTTACAAGGGCACGTAGTGATAGAACAAGTAGGAATGGCTTTAAACTAAAAGAGAATRGGTTTAGATTAGATATTATGAAAAAATTCTTCACTGTGAAGRTGGTGAGGCACTGGAACAGGTTGCCCAGAGAATTTGTGGATGCCCCATCCCTGGAAGTGTTCCAGGCCAGATTGGACAGAGCTTTGAGCAACCTTTATCTGCTGGAAGGTGTCCCTATCTACAGCAGGAGTGTAGGAGCTAGATGATTGTTAAAATCCCTTCCAACCCAAACCATTCCATAATTATATGGTTTTTCTTACTTRTGTAGGTGTCACATTGTGGTTGCTCCTGAGAACAGCTAGGTGGAATCRTGTTGTGAATCAGAATTGCCGCTCTTACATTCTTATGGCGGAGAATATATTTGTGTGGCACAGTGGTGCTTCTCAAAACCACCATGTCTATGAAATGGAACTTTTTCTTAGGTTGTTTTTTGGTAGATACTTTCAGGTCTGTACAGGCCTATGATGATTCAGTCTCTTCACCTGACTTAATTTGCAAGCGTGAATTTGATCCTTATCAACTATGATGGAAGCTCTTTATTCTTCATTGTTTGGGTACAGTGAAATAAGTATCACAGGTCTTAGCTGAGAATACTGGTAATTACCTATCTGGATGCTAGTGTCAAAATTTTCCAGTTATTTCAGGGTTTTAAAGGGTCTAGTTTTCAGTGACTCTATTTTTTAAGTGGTATTTACACTATTTCAAGGTACATAGCTTAGATCTCTGTCGGTTTCTTTGGTACTGTTTCTCTCCTAAAATTTCACTCTTAAGTTCTCTGTGTGCATTTTCATTTTCCAGCTCTACCTGCCAAACTCAGGAGGTARAAGAAATATGATTGAAACCATAATTCAGATGTTGGGCATAAGTTATGTTACTGAACATGGATACTTACTGAGTATCTGTGCCTAAGCTTGGATCTGTGAACTAATTGAGAAGTCCGCAGAAACTGATAAAGTGCTGTGAATCCCATTTGTAGCCGATATAGTTGCTTGCACTGTTTTTTAGAAAATAAGCCTTCTCTTAGTGTTTGGTGAGCAGTTCCTTTAACTAGTATCCCAGTTTAACCTTTCTTCATCTTGTTTCCTAGGTTATGCATTCAGTGAAGATGGTGAATACTTTGCATATGGCCTGAGTTCTAGTGGCTCTGATTGGGTTACTATCAAGTTTATGAAAGTAGAAGGTCCTGAGGATCTCCCAGATACTTTGGAGAGAGTTAAATTCAGTTGCATGGCATGGACCCATGATGGAAAAGGCATGTTCTATAACTGCTACCCAAAGCAAGAGGGGAAAAGTGATGGTAGGTATGACCATACTTATTGCATGCTATGTGGAAGCAAAATAACTTTTGCAGTAAATTGGTGCAACAAATAATTAACTCTACAAATTTTTACTGAAATAAATAGCAGTATTGGTTATGCAATTAGAGATCAAATTATGTCTTGTATGGCCAAAGCCTATGCTCAGTTAATGTGAGTCACTTCTTGTCTACTTGCCCTTGTTTTTTTCTTAAAAGTTTGCCGCTCCTTTTCCTTTTCTCTGGAATGATTTAATTAGGTTCCATATTGTTGTTGTTGGCTAGAATTTGATGTCTGGTGACAGCTTTGTTAGATCTTTCTCCTTATGAATTTGTGTGGGCATAGATGAGCTGGTTTGGGAGATTGATCTAATGAATAGCAGTGTGGGGTGTAGGTTTTTGTTGTTCAGCCAAATTAATTATTCTGTGGTTCACAGCAAAGCAACACAAAACGTTTATGCTAGCAAAAATCAAGGAGCATTGTACAAAGTGGAATAAATTTCTGAGGAGTGCCGGTGGAGAAGGAATTTAGCACCTTTTATTATAAGATAGAGCTACTGGAAAGTTTCTTCTGGGCATGTGCTCTTCGTTAAACTATAGAGAGTCTGAATTTTACTTCTGTATTTGCTTTTGAAGCCTGTAAGTTTGCCAGACTTGCAAGATAGATACCAGCCTTGTTTCATTGAGCTTTTTTTTAACCTCCTGTTTGTAGTTCAAAAGCTAAAGTGCTGGAAACTTGCAAGAATGAAATTTTTTTTTTAAATCAAGTAGCACCTCATTCAGTGCTTTATAATGTATCACTTTTGTATTTTCAGTAAATGGAAGTACAAAGGTTTCTAGGAATGTTAATTAGCAGTAAATCTCCCCTTCGTTGCTTGGAGTGAAATGGAAATGAAAATGTCATTAGAGGGTGGCAGGGCTGCTTGTTTTTCTTCATTTTGCTTGCTTTGCTAGAAAGCAAAGCTTGAAATGATAAATCTTCAGGTTTGAAGTAGGTATTATCAACAATAAAAGGAAAGGCTTACTATTTTAAAGGGTTTCCACTGTGAAGTTTTTTGTTTTGTAGGAGAATGTTTTTTTGGAGGGGAATGGTTGTGGCTTGGAACCTTTCTTAGTTCTCTCTTCTGAATTTCTCTTTTGTATGCAAAGGGATACAGAAATTTCTAAGGGTTTCATGTGATTGTTGTTGGATTTCTTTGAGAACTTACTGGTTTAAATATCTGCATTTCACTAGGCACTGAGACCTCCACTAATCTGCACCAAAAGCTGCATTATCACGTATTAGGAACTAACCAGTCAGAAGATATCCTATGTGCTGAATTTCCTGATGAACCAAAATGGATGGGTGGAGCTGAGGTATGGTAAACATCCTGCAGCTTATCATTATCTTGTTCAGTTTTTCATATTTTAATGACGGATATTAATTTGAAAACATTTTGTTAAAAGAACACTTTTTGTTAGTGTTGTAGAGTTGACAATTGAACTAAGAATAATTGATTAAGAATTCCTGAAAATAAGACTGCCTACTTTGCTTTAARTCATTCCTCCAGCCTGCAATGACACAATCATATACCCTTTTTCTTCATTGTGGTCATTCTGCCTGATACACATTGCAAGACAGAGAAGTATCATTTGATGGGCAATGTGTCACTGTTCTTGTTTCTTCTTGGTCAGTGTTTAGCCCCAACTTCTACTTCCTGTGCAAAAAGTTTATTCTGATAATCAGCATATATGAATATTCCCTGCCATGTATGTGGTTATATTTATTTTTCAATGAATATTTCTTCCATGAAAAATAAATACGTCTATTTTGTTTAATTGAAGAATGGAGATATACAAGTCAAAATCTGCTAATACTGTGTGTACAGCTGGAGAATTCCAAGTTTCCCTGCAAATTTTATCAGCACACATATAGTACAGACTGTTACTGGAAATGGAACTAGTGACTGGTGCTAGACTTGACTTCTTAAGCTTATTTTAGTGAACAACTGCTTGATAGTGCAAAGTCGCAGTGAACCTTTTGTAATTAATATGTGTTTTATTCTCCAGGTTATATTTAGCAATGTGCAGTTGGGTTCACTGTTTCAAAGTGCTGCTGTCATGTAGTGATGGTCATTCCATTTATCGGGGATCTGGTGTTTYTCAGTGGATGAATACCTGTTGTAATACTCTGTACTCTCCTGCCTACTATGTTTGATCAGCACATTTTGTTTCTATATTGGTCTCTTTTGGAATGACACTTTTGATTAATATGTAGTTTTTACCCTGGCTTGGGGTATTCAGTTTCCAGAAATACTTTTGAGAAGTTTGATCATTGGTCTGTGTTACTTTTTCAACATACTAACCCATGAAAATGTTAGGGGTATCTTTCCTGCAGGCTGCCAGAAAACAAAGGTTCTTTCAAAGAATTTGAACAGTGGGATTTGAAATGAAACATTGAGTGAGAATGTGAAGGGTTTGCAAGCAAAGTGATGACACCGAGCTTTCTCTAACAAATCAGACTTATCTGTACGTTCCATAAATAACCACAACCTTTTTTACACAATCTCATGTATTCATGAAACATATATTTAAAAACTGACCTGAGTATCAGTRGAAAATTGCAAATGGAACTTTGGATTTCTTTTTTTTTCCATTCAAAAACTAGTAATTTCTGTTGAGTTCAATTGTCAATAAAATGGAATTTGGAAATAGTTATCTTTATTTTTCCCTAGTTCCATAAATGGGCTTTCTTTTGGTGACAGATGCTTTGTAATGATGTATCCACTGATTCATGCGGGTGATGCATATTATTAATATTATTTCTTTCCAATATCATGAGCTAAACTACACACGTTGTTGTGAAGGCAAATTCATTTTCCATGGGGARGGACTGTTGCAGTCTGATTAATTAGGCTTTTGCTGCAGAACAGGGAGGTAAGGGAATGTAGCACAGATACAAGTTCTGAAACCACTGGAGTTGAAACAGCCCCATAACTGTTGTGGAAGTGGGGAGGACAGTGCATAGAGAAACACCTCCCTACTATGGGCTCTCGTTTAATAAATTTATGTCACTGGATGGTATGGCTGCTTTTGGTGGTTTTCTTCACCTCTAGGAGGCATAAATTTCCAGAGATGTTGGTATTTAAGAAGAAATGCTATTTTAAGGAAGCGTGRAAAAGCAGAGATCCATCCACCTCTGTAAATAATCATTAACTTTTCTAAGTGAGAATACTTCAAAACAGCTGATATTCTGGGGTTGTGCACTGAGCTCCAGCTGTAAAATGTGGCTCTGTTTTACGGATACTAATGAAAAAATGGCTTTTAATGGTCAGGAGAAAAATACTCTGCAATTGAAAAAAAAACCCAAACCAACAAAACCAAACTGAAACAGTGCAATTGCAAAATGTGGTTTCATCCTTGTGCAATGGGTCAAAAATCTTCTTTTCAGGCCATTCCAGGAAGTTTTCTGGTCAGTTTTTCTAAGTGTTTGAGAAAGTGGAAGACCACAAAGTAATGGGGGAAAAATTAAAATACCATTAGTCAAAATCAAATTATATGGCTTTTTGGTGCTGTCCTGAATATGCTTCTGTGGTTCTAATATGCTGCTATAGGTTTTAAAATACAGCTTTGCAAAATACGGCTCTATGTGTTATAAAATGCATGTTTTCATGTGTTCCTGTGAGATACATTAAAAAACGTTTTTATTTTAGCAGCTTTGCTAGTCCTGCCAGGTAGAAACATTCTCTGTGTTTTACACAAGCTTCARTGGAAGACAGTTGGGTTATGGWRTGGGTCTTCTAGTSTTAAATACCAAACCTTTCTCTGTGRTGGRGACAGAGTTGAACTTTTCATACTCAGGTTTAAACGAAATTTGCAGCTTTTGAAACCAAGGTCAAGGAACAGAAATAGATCGTTTGCAAATGAAAAGCACCCAGCAAGGAGATCCTTTGAAGAGTGTAAAAGTAATAATGTTGCCATGATGCCTCAGAAAAAWTAGTCTCAGGTGCAGTGTAGGGAGTCAGAATAGTGTGTATTCTCAATGGAGATAGGAAATTAGGTCACTCATAGRGGCGAAAGAGGGTTGTATAAAATTTTGTCAGCTTAATATATTTACAAGACAATATGCAAGAAGATAGCCTCAGGGGTTTTGTCCTCATTATACATTCAACACCAGCCCAGAGTATGCTTGATTTAAACAAAATCTGTGGATTCTGAAAGTGGTGTTGGCAGAGAAATGTAGATGCTTTTTCAGCTCTGTACTTGAATGGATTATTTGTGAGGAAAAAATCTGTTTATTGTTAGTCAGATATATAAGTTTTCAAAAAGAGGCTATTAAACCTTTTCATTAGTCTAGAAAAAGGCATGTGCATTTCTGCTACAGATTCTAGAATGGTGGGGGTGTTGTGAAGAGCAGGGACAGAGTTTAATTGARTAACATCCCAGCAGAGGGCAGTCTGGTATGAAGATTTTTAAAATCTTTGCAATGTCATGGAGCTTTCCATGCTTTTCTGTTTAAGTGGCATTTTCTTGCTTCTTCAGACTGACTGAGCATATCTCTCTTTCACAGACAGACTGTTACTCTCAAAGTTAAACAATAAGTTATGTAACAGTCTTTCACAGTTGGCAGTGCTAGAAGTCCCTATGGTACCAGCAGCAAAGGAAATAGAAGAGAAAGGAGTTGGTGAGGGGAACTCTCCTATCCCAATTCTGCTAGTGGTGAAATAAGTGCAATGTTTGTTTAACAAACACTGTGCACTGCCTCTGAATTTGACAATTTTTTTTTTCTTTTTTTAGGTTTTGATTTTATATTTAGAGCTGTCAGTTAACATCAGTGGTTCTAAACCAGGGAGGTGATGTTGCAAATGAAATTCAGARCACAGAGGAGTAAGCTGTGCCAGTTGTGGGCTGGCTACAGTGTTTTCACTGCAGCAGCATTGAAGCATCCACAGGGGAAGAGTGAGCAGCATGAAGGGGAAGGGCTGAAAACATTGTCAGTTTGCTCAAGTGAGACACACTGCTGGGTAAAACAGGGCTGTGGGAATTTTCCTAAAACCTTACACTATCTTAGTCAAGGCTGAATCTGGAATAGAAGCCTGGTATGAATATCTTCCTACATCCCTGGCATTAGGCCTGGAGAATTTTACTGTTAAGAAAGAGACAGGTAATCSTGGCTGCACATGGAACTATGGTAGATAGTAATTTCTTACATAGGTAGATTCCAGATGCTGTGGTGCTTTCCTTCCTCAAAAAACAAACTGAAAGCCACAGTAAAAATTGTGTGGGATGTTTGTCACCCCAGAAGACTACTGATTTGATTCTGTGCTAGACTTAGGAAAGAGAATGCATGTAAACATGCATGTACCTCCTCTGAACAAGGCTGCCTGGTGTCCTGTTGGAATTTAAATAGTCATAAGCACAGTGATCTAGGGTCAAAATCCCAGTTCTCTGTTTTCAATAGGGCTCCTTCCACYCAAACTTAGCAGAGTCTCAATAGGATATGGTGAGAATAGAAGTGTTCTTTATACCAGCACATTGTATCTAAAATTCGAGGAAAAAAGTACAGCTGGAACAAGGAATTTGAATTAATATCCACAGCAAGTTTTCTAATCTGGGGAGGGGGAGGATAGAACACATCAGAATGTTTGTATATAATCATGTCCAAGTTCAGCATAAGGTGTGTCACCCTGCGCCTGAGAATGTCGGAACCTGAAATTATGCATTCCTTTGATCACCCATCATTAGGGCTTCTGAAGTTTAGTGGATTCCAAAACCATTTTTCTCTGCAAATAGAAAATCAAACAAAGCCTTTACAGCCCGAGAGTAGCAGCTTCAGGTGGCTTGAATTGTGMTGACTAGTCCCAAGAGGTTGCTTTGTGTAAGGGAGTTCTTGCCCCAAACCTCAATATCTSAAAAGACTGCAAGAACATAAAATGTGATAGGAGCTATTTGCAAGGTTCAGTGACTTTCTGGCACCACTGCAAAGATAATATCAGAACATAGCTTTATGTTCCTTTCATTAAAAAAAAATAACAAACCAGTACCACACCCCACAACCCCCATAAAAAAAAACCCACAAAACCCCACAACCATTTACAATCATTTAATGAAAAAATTGTTTCCTGTTCTAGGAAAGAAAATAGCTTTGATTTTTCTAATAAGTGAGATAATAAAAGTGGAATTTGAAAGACTGAGAGACTACAGTGGGGGTTCTTTGTCATCATGCAAGCAGATCTTTGTGGCACAGGTGCATGTGCACATCTGTGATATTAGAACACTTGAGGCTGTTCAGTGTAATTGCTCTTTACTTACCAAATGCTTCAGCAAATTCTACAGTAATTTTTTTCTTTTTTGTCTGTAGAAGCCAAATGCTTTGTGGATTTTTGTGCTTAATGTTTTCCGTTGTTCATCTGATAGAGAGCTTTAAAATACTCATAAATAACAGAAGAGGTAATTTCTGCATCAAGTGAAAGGTTTCTTGCATGTAAATTCTTCTTAGCTAAGTCATATCCAGGGTCAGTGGTATTATGCAAAAGTCTTTGTGCAGCATATATCTAAAGTTAAGGAAGTAACTGCTGTCATGAGTCTGGTGACTGCATTCATTCATAAATAAGTATTTAAAAAAAAMATCTAGTCAGTCTCTGTGGGTAGTTTTAAGGTGTTACATCCATAACATATAGTGAAAATTGTAGCAGTGTTAAAATGCAGCTTATTGATGTAATGAGTTTTTAGTTCCTAGTTATTAATGCCATGCATTGCATGGTTGCATCTTTATTGCCATACATCTTTTCTTTTTCTGGATGATCTCATCTTTCGTGGCTGGATACATGGAGTTCAGTTTGTAATTTGACCTTTTAGCTTTTTTGGAAAGCTTTGATTCTGTCTGTGATTTTTGCGAACTTTGAATTTTTATTATTTTTTTTTTGTACGTAATTTATTTGCTGTGCTTCATTGGAAATGCATTAGATAGCAATGACAGTGCTCTGTTTCATATGCAAAGGGCACCAGTGCATGAAGAGCAGTAGTTTGTGAAATAACTGCAGATGCAGATCAGGTTATAGATTATCATAGTGTTGATGCCTGCAGTTAAGAAGAGAGTTYATATTTTTCTAAACACAGGCATGGGATCTAATAACTGAATTTTATTTATTTTATTTTTAGTACCTTGTTACACAGAAGCAAATTTTGCAGTGATTAGATTTTTTTCCACCTTGATGATAAAAAAGGGTAAAAGYAGTAAATCTTTGAATTTAATTATCTGTAAAGGAGTGGTGTGTATGGGTATATAGTTGCCTTAGTATATTACTATGTAGTCTAAGGGYCCCTATTTGTGAACTATACAGAGCTGTTCCTTATCCCGTGCTTGGCAATGGTGACTGTCCCGGTAGTGTTCACAGAACTTGCATTAATATTCACCGTTGGCATGCACATGACTTGAAAGTAGAACACTCTAATCTCTCATATTGACATTTTAGTTGAGTGATACATAAAGCCAGCAAGTCTAAAAACCTGACAGCTTTCTCCTGTTCATTCATTTTCGTTATTGTTTGTTTAATTATGTATGAATTTTTGGTCCGAAATCTGCTGCTGCTTGACAAAATGTTTAACTTTGCTTTTGCCGTGGATCTTCATAACCCTTTGGGGTACCTTATATGGCTTGTATAATGAAYTAATTATATTTTGTAATGAAAGAAAATATTTAAGTGGTTAGAAGATTCTTTTTCTAATTAAGCTTTAAATAACTTTTCATATTTTGCTGCTYATTGATATATTGAAGTTAAAAGTAAATCACTTAATCTCTTAATGTTTGTCTAAGCAATGGTTACTCTCATCAAAATGGAGAGAACATGTAAAATTMAAACAAATTTGCTAGGAAAAAGCAACCCACAAAAAATGCCCCACTATAAACCACAACTCTTTTATAAAGGTGGATTTAAAGATTTTGGTGTTTGAAAGAGTAARTAAAACAGTACTTGGGAGTATAGCTATCTCCATGATAGGGTTGTGTATGGTGGTATGTTAGGATGATGGTCACAACAAATTTTTAAGAAGTAATAGCTCTAACAAGGTCAATGTSGCCAACTGACTGACAGTAATAGTGAAAATAAAAGCTACATACAAACATCAGYTCTGTGAAATGATCCTTCCTTTACTAGTGCTGAGTTAGGGGTTAGTGCTGTGTTATGCCGCTAAAATCATTGTTATGCTGAAGGTTTTTTAAAGCTCCAGTTGAAAGGCTAAAGGATTTCTTCTGTCTTGTTTTGACGTATACTTAATGTTGTTTTAAGAGTTGCAATTGCTTTATAGCCTGCTTACTTTTTACCAGTGGGTGTTGTTTGAAATTATAGTAATTATTTTAACAAGAGAAATATGCTCTGACTGGAATTCCAGATCTCTCTCAGAAATTCTTGAGATATGTTTCCTTTTCATCTTAAATGTGGGAAACCAGGTCTGACATTGCAGCTGTCCTCCTTATGCTGAAGCATGAATCTATTCTGAGATTTGAGTGAGGTASTAGTATGACATTTCAGTTCATAAATTTGTGAGCTGAGAGCAAGAATTGCAGCTCAGCTAATGAAGATGATGTAGCAGTGTAAGAATAGTCCAAATGATAGTTGGTAAACCATATTTCCTTTTGCCATCCTGAAACCCAGGCTCGTCTGTTTACAGTGAAGGGYCAGTGGCATTTGGGCTGTGATTACACATTTGTCAGTGCTGCAATCTGAGCTGCCCTGAGCAATCTCTACCCCTGTTATTTATGTTTCCWGATGCTTTGTGCAGTTGGTTAGCTTGGCCATTTGTGCAACTGAACAGTGAACTGATTGAGATACTAATCTGGCATAGGGACTTCCTTTATTCCTCTTTTTTTTTATTGTGGACTGTTTGCGTTTTTTTCCTTTTTCTTTCTCCTTCCCCTCCTGGATTCTTTGTTTYGTTTGTTTAGGTGGGTTTTTTCCTCTGGATTCTTTTTTCTTTTCTGTATTTTGGAGGTTTTAAATTTTTCCTTAATGTTGATCATTTCCCCAAACTGGTTTGCTTCACAAATGGTAGATGCTTATACTGGCATTACAAGGGGAATGAACTTGYGGGGACACAAGCAACAATAGCAGTAGGAAGAGCTAGAGGTGGAGACTGCATAAGTTAATGCTGTTGGCCAAGATTGCTCATCAAACTGTAACTTTGCAGTGGGAATGTCTAAATCTGCGGTATAATACTGAAAATTTTAGCATGCTGCAGTCAACTGTCTTGTCCTGTTTCTGTCAAATTCCTTTGGTTTGTAGAACTTACTGGTACAAGAATAGCTTTAGTGATAGAAACAGACATAATTGGTATCCCACCAGCAAGATGCTTTGGGAATTCTTACTTCAAATTAAACATAAACTGCTATCAACTCTTAACTAGTCCAGCTGAGAATATGGAAGGGAAAATTAGATGTACTCAGATTCGCTGTCATCAGAGGTTCTGAATTGCTCTTTAAGCAACATCAGATATTTGCAGATCTCTGTTCTTTCTTGGGTAAAGTGATCAGTCTTAACTGTTTAACTCACATAATCAGAGAATATGTTGCCTTTGACCGTGACTGAAAGAATTTTGTGTGTCATACTCTTGAGTTTAACTGCAATTTGTGTTTTTATRTCTTAAAATTATTTTGTATGTTTTTTTGGTTGATGAGGAAGGAAAGGAAACTTGGTGCTTTCACAAGTATGGACATATGTTTAAGCAGCATATTGCAGACATTTTCCTAATTTAATTGATATCTGCAATTACAACTTATCTAAAAACATTGAAGATACATCTTTCACGAGAGATCACCTAATTTTGGTTTCTAGATACACTTGTTTCTAGAAAGGAGGAGGTAAAACACCTCAGTTTTGCAGGCTACCCTGTTAAAGATGTGTTTGCTRTTTCATACAATGGATTTTTGGGGGCTAGGAATCTTAGGTGTTCTTTTCTGTTTGTCTTGTGARCTTTTGGCTGTATGGACTTTCCTCCTGGTATAATTTGCTCATAACAAAATGCCTGTAAAAAAAACGATTTGAAAAYACTCATTTGGGGWTTGTTTTTGTTTTGGGGRGTGTTTGGTTGTTGGGTTTTTTTGTTAATTTTCATACACTTGAGATTTGTTTCTAGATCCCCTTCTTGTGTCTTCAAAATTGTGTAACTGTTGGAATACAGAACCTAATTAGTCTAAAATTTATTTTTCATAATTCATTCTACAGATACTGTGCATGTTACAAATATAAACTGAAGTATATCTAAGAAGTAATTTTAATAATTTTAATAATGTAAATTATRCATAATTTACAATATCTGTATAAGAGTTGTTTTGAAGATGTGTATAGGGCCAAGTGGAAAATTTCCAGAACCCAGATGGATATTTTATGACTAGGGGTTTAAATTTCTATCACATATGATCATATAAGAATGTAGACAGGAAACGGCCTCCTCTGTCAGCTCTGTTAAAAAAAACATCTAGATACGGTGATTTTGGAATATGCTCAAAGCTGCTCAGTCAGGAGAGGTAAGCTAAGTTGATGACTTCTTGTTACTTTGTGTCTTTCCTTGTTGGACTTGCACTTCCAAAAGCTTTGCTGTTTGCCGAGCCCGAGCAGCAAGAAGGATAATTGATGACTTCCTATACTAGCAGACACTAYTTCAGAAATTCTGTTGTGGGTGTACATGCACGTGCAAAAGTGAACCAAGAAGCTTCATCAGATAATTTATAAGGGGATTGTCGCTCATAATGTTCATTTAACAGCAGCACTAGATTTGTGTGTGTGATCTCACTTTTCAAATTTTCTTTTTCCAGAGCGTGAATTGTCTTTGATTTTTCTGTAACTTCTTACAGGTGTCAGATGATGGTCGCTATGTCTTGCTGTCTATCAGAGAAGGCTGTGATCCAGTGAACAGACTGTGGTACTGTGATCTACAGAAAGAGTCTCAGGGTATATCAGGTATGTGTTGTTTTGTAAGTTTTGCTTCCTTTTAAGACAATATAAGATTTGAAATACTGTTTGGATTAATATAAATGTATGTATATATACATTAAAATAGTGTATTGCTTAGCTACCTTGATGGAGAAATTACAATAAAATAAGCACTGCTAGCATTCCATTTCGTGTTATGTATCAGTAGATGGAAAAGTCCATTCTTAGTTCTGTAGTTTGTTTAAAAGGTCACAAGGAAAAATTGGTATGGTATAAGCAGCCTTACCCCATGCATGTTCCATTTCATTCTATGCCACTAGTGCTTTTCCATTTTTAAACATTTTTTGTATTTTAAAAATTTCATATATCTCCGTTTAAGTGCTGATAGCACTTTTTTGAAAAAAGTAACTGGCCTAAACTTTTTTTCTATGTATAGTACTAGGAAATAAACTATAATCCTTCAGTGTTATTTGGTAGCACCACTGTTATACTAGAAGTACCTACTCATATTTCAAATAGACTTTTATGAATTACTTCTTCCTCGCCTTCTAGTTGGATTAGCCATTGGCTTTTGTGTGCTAAACTTTGTAGCCACACTGGTGTGAGCTGAAAGTGTGGCACTTTACTCTGTATGGCTGTTGTTGAAGGTTGGCGTAGTTAGCTGGTTTAACTTATTGGTGATTTTGTATTTCCAGGGTCTTAGATTATTGAAAGGTATTCCTCAATACGCTTTGCATTGAACACAGCTTTTTTGATTCTTGCGGCTTCTGTCTTCAGAAACTTCAAAAACAGAATAAATATTGCAGTAGCTCTTTGTTAAACACTGGATCTCTAGAAACTTGTTCTCTTGTTATTTAACAGAGTATTTGGGGCTATGGAGGGTACATTACTACTGACTTGTCTACAACCAAACCTCAGCTAAGGCTGCTAGCAATTTCCACGTGCACATCCATTTCTTCTTGTTTATACATAGTGGGTCAGGCAGGGAACCTTTCTTTCTTTGATGTCATGATCACCATGGGAAGTTACCATCAAGGCACTGCAGAATTTTAGAGTGCTTAAGCCCTGCTGTGTTGTCCTTCCACACAGAAGACATCACAGTGGTTAGAATTTCCACCATGAGAAGTGTGGCCTGTGAACATGAGTCTTCTTTCAGTTGCCTGGAAGGCATCATCTACTTCTGCCTGGTACAAAGTATATAGCGTAAACAGTAGATCCCTGCTGCATGCTGTGTAGCATATACCACTACAGTTGCACCCATGCTAGTCTGCCTGTTAATCTTGTCCTGTAAGCTACTGACTGCCTCATAAACTGTCCCAAGGCAGAACTCCACAAATTYGAGCTGGTTTTTCACATAAAAGGCAAGTCACCGCCCCTTGCCAGCCAGTCGTTACAAACAACCTTTAAGCATCCATTGTAGAACACCAGTCCTGTGAGTTATCCCGACATATCTCCATCATCCGAATGAGGTCACAGTCCAGAAACTGCACACAGACTTCTGGCTCCTCCTGTTTGTTCTCATGTTGTGTGCATSAGTGTAGAGGCAGTTCAGGCAGGCACCCAGGTGTGCTGATTCCTCAGTACGGGTTTGAGAACTTTATTCATGAGGCTGTTTTGCACACACTTCCTTCTTCACAATCCTGGTACTTGGAGAGATTCCACTTCAGCTCTGTTTTGTTGATTGCTGTGTCGCTTCCTTCTTATCACCCAGGCCCTTGGCTTGCCTACCCAATCCACATCTTCTGTACTTGTTGAGCAATCTCTTTCTCCTCTGTTTTTTCTAGTTTAAAGTTCTGCTTTCAGTGTTGGCTAGCCTGCAGGATACTTTTTCCTTGCTTAATCAGGTGGACAACGGTGTAGCAATAGTACAGAATGAGGTAACCTAGAATTGCTGATCAATCGTTGTTTTTTCTCATAGATGTGCATGTATTAATGTCTCCTGTTCCTTGTTTGCATCCTGCTTTCTATAAAAATAAGAGATGCTTGATCCCACTTTGCTTTTTGAAGCATTGGCTCCCAAATGCAATCAGTGGTAATGGAAATGCAGGTGTCTCAGTGGTCCAGCCCTCACAAGAATGTGCAGGAGGGCAGTTGGCCAGGCAGAGGTGAGAACATAGGTTTGTGGCATAAACAATATTGTTATATCTTGAAGATTTGCTCAGATGAGCACCGTTATGGATACTTGAGATGTGGAGATGGCTTTGGAAGAAATTTTCATCATCTTAGACTTAAACCACTTTCAGTCAAAGTTCTCTCCCCTGTGGATTGTCAGAGACATGAAATTCAATGAATATTTGGCTTCCAACTGTTATATTCATAACTGCTCTYTCCTGTGAATTTGTGGATGACACTGTTGATGCTGAATCTTAATATAAATTGAGTTAGAATGTCAAATGACTTTATAAAAACCCATACACCMCTAGGTTCCCCTTGTTCCAGTGTTCAGAGCCTTTTGTCTCTTTGTTGCATACAAGACTGTTTACGTGTTGTACGCTTTTAAGAGGACTTCTAAGATGCACCCTTCCTGTGCCTCTGTTTACTTGGATCATGGTGTTCAGCAGGGTTTTGTCACCCCTGGGAGGTTGTGGTGACCTGAGATGATGAAGTTTCAGAACTCCTCTATGGATTAGAAGGAGCTCTTACAAGCACGAATTAGAAGGAGCTCTCTTGCATTTCTAGAGATCTCTTTTAACCTGTTTTCTATTCTGACTTTTCCCAGAAGTGACAACTGTAAGTCATAGATCAATTCATAGTGTGTTAGACAAGTGTGTTCTCAGAGTTGTAATAAAGTCTAACACCTGTAACTGGGAATATGCACTGGAATATCATAGGCAAGTGCTATTGACTGATAGGGAGGTATATGATCCTAAGGAGACCTGTAGGATGGACAAATGGGCAGTTCTGTTGAGTTTTAAATTTGTAAACTCAGTTCCTCGAATAGGCTATCAGCCGAGTCAGGTGTGTGACAACAAGGCAGAGTTACTCCACGCCACATGTTCATCCAACAGCTTTACATCATTGACTGTGTTTAGATCCAAAGTGGATGAGATGATTAATGAATTTTCTTAACTTATGCTGTAATGAAGGACTTTGGTGGCTGCCAAATTCTGTGTTGGAGGTARAGTGAGAATCACCTCCAGACTGTGGGTACGATAAGGTGATGGGCTGAACATACCTGTTTAGACCATTAGCTGAGGCTGCTTCTCTCCTGTGCTTCATGAGATTCAGTCCATGTGAAATACAGGTATCTCTCTGGACAGATTTGGACCCCCATGATGATTGCAAAATGTGCCCATGGCCTGTAGCTCACATGCATCTAAGATTAAAGAGAGAAAATAAAAGAGAAATTCCACAAAACTGAAAGCAACCTGAAGAATTAAAGCAGGAGCATTTCTCCTGTGGCATCTCAAAAAAATTACAAAGCTAAGGGGAGATAGAAACTGATCTTATTAAGACACAGATGTTTGTGAAGATGTCAGAAAATAACAGAACTAGTTGCAGGACTATTTGAGTGAATATTAGCCATTTCAGTAATTGTACTGACTGGCAGAGAAGGAATGAGGGAAATTGAAAAATGAAATAAAATGGATGATATTATAGGTARCCCATGATCTACCAGATAACACATCTGATATAGACGCTGTTATAAGGACAGAGTAATTTGATAGTGAAACTCCAATTTAGTGACCATAAAGAAGAGGTGAAGTAATAGTGGAGAGGCTCTGATTATTTCTGTCAAAATGGTTGGAGATGCTTGCTGAAGACAGACGTGCAAATAAGTCTGAATTTGCAACTGAAAGCTGAAAATTATCATTAAATTATTATTTATTTTTCTTTTTAACGCCTTATTAAGGTGTTATTGACTAAACTACTTACTGGATTGTTGAAATTGATTGACCAAAGAAAACTTCTGTCAAGAGACAGTACTATATTTTTGTAATGAAGAGTAAAAAAGTACCAGAGCTAGTAATTAAGGGAAAGGAGTTAATATATCGAGTGTAACTCAGAATTGAAGGGACACAACTGGTATAAATGGGCTTGCAGTAATTTTGTACTTAGGTTGTCCTGTCCCCTTCTTTTTTTTTTCTCCTTCTGTAATAGACCCCTTACATACCTATTCCTTGTATCAGTTCCAGGGTTTGGACCTGTCCTTTAAAATTCCATAGAGGCTGGTTATGGAAGTGTCCTTCATACTGTTTGATTTCTTTGAGATATGTTAGAATTTAAGCCCTGTTTGAGCAGTAGGTCAAGATAAACACATGTGTGTGTATTTATGGACTAAAACCACACTATGGTTGGAGCAGCTCCTGTGCTAAACATGCTGACTGTGTCATTGTGCARCAGCATCCTGGCTGTAGCAGCAAGGATGAATAGGCAGACCTGACTTGCCTTGTCAGATGAAGCAAAACAAAAGTTASGACTTCCCTCAACTGCAGAGGAATTAGGATAATAAACTATTCCTTTCATAGACRTTTTATGGGCTTGTTACCTGTTACTAGCTCTTGTACTGAATAGCAATATTGTGGTTGAAGCCCTTGCATTCAGTGAAAGTCATTTGTGTTTCAGTTAAATGATTCATAGTYGGGTCACTTTGATGGGATATTGTTATATAGAAATAGTGATTGTTTTTATAATTTTTCTTGTTTCATTGAGGCTTTAAGAGAAAAATAAGGAAAACTTAATGCAATCTGGCGATATTGCACTGGATATACAGAGTTTGGGAGGTGGCAGATTTAATATGATCAAATACAAGTTGAAGTCTTCTCAGTCATGAGCTTTATGAACTTTATTCATAAAATTCTTCATTATTATTTTCATTTTGGGGGACTTGTTTTATTTAGCTGAACTAGTCTRCTTCACAGAGCTGGACTTATGAAATACTCATGAAATATTTCAAGTCTGGTGTCAACAAATTTCTCATAGTTCTCAATTTATTTGTATTGTAAAGTCATGGTTTAGAAAGGGTAAATGTGCTGTACTTAAGGGTTGTTAGAATTAAGGTTAGCTAGCTCATTTGTCATCTTTGT